TCGTTTTCAAGGGACTCTATATAATTATTTCTATTATTCACATTTTGCCTTAGGTTGAACGATTTTCGGTTAGAATATCAATTTTGTTACCAAGTACGTATAGGGTATTTTTCGCTTTGTTATTTCTTCACGATTAATAATTAAATAAAATTAATAAATAAATCATTTTGCTTTATAAAACCTTTTTTCGAAAACAAAATCCCCGCTCGATTTAACCGCTATTCACTGAAGGAATGAACATTGCGTCTGTTGAATTCATGGGGTGATGAAATGAGTTGTTTTTGAGACAAATGTTATAAAATGTTCAATTTGAATTTTACTCAAACCCAACCCAGTATATCGTCCCATGAGATCGAAGCCCTTCAATACTAGAAACTGCGCTATACCATTTGGCTAAGTTACGCGAACTAAATCTATGTATAAACCTTACGTTAAAATATGGTCCGGCAACTTCTTAAATTGGCTACACTTGCTTTTTCCAATATAATCACCCGTTTAAATATTGTGGCTACTTAAAAATTGTTAAATGGCTACAGGTCGATTGTTTTCTCCGAAGGCTCCGGCTTTCCTCCAATACCAAAACATGGCAGGTTCCTAAATGACTAAAACTGTTAATAGGACGTTAATCACAAACACACTAATGAAACGCACAACATATAGTAGTTCTATGGAGTGAAACCTGAGTAGAAATCGAAGTATTGGACCTTTATGGTATTGTCTGTGAGTTTGATATTAGTTCCGCGTGACATTACGTCATGTTTACAAAAATGTTACGTCACACCGCTTGCGCGTGCCTATCTTTGATGAACGCATTCATTGTATGGATTAATACACTATTTCGATAATTCTCTCTTCCATTACATTGGTATTATTGTATATAACACTTAATTGCTTTGGTAGTTTTCATTCCACGTCATGCGTTCATATGGATGCTATTCAAACAACAAATTTATAAATTGATCACTACACGAACAACTACATTTTAAAAGAAACAAAAATGGAGTGAAACGTGAAATAGCGTTTTAGTAATTGTTACAAAAAGTTCACAAAATTGGGTTTGCAAAATTAAGTAATATATTGAAGGCAACCAGGTTAAGCCAAGAATCAACATTCCAATTATTTCAATATAAATTCCCCCTATTGAAGCCAATATGGATTTTATTGTGCATTATATGAAAAAGGTACTATGTACAAGAAATTATTTCTTCTATCTGACAATCAAACAAACCAATATTGAAAAATGTGTGTAGCATTGTATGGCGCCGTCAGCTTGTTTATGCTACACATGCTATAAATGTCTTCAGTGTTTTCTTTGCATCAAAACCGTAATAATATTCCAGTTTTGTTGTTTATTTGTTAATTGCATTGTCTAACTGCAGTAAACAAAAGTATTCCTGACCAATAACCCGAGATAGTGTGTTTCTTCTTCCTCGATCAGAAATGTGTAGACAGTTTCAGTAAGCATGGAATCAGGGGATTTATCGGCATCGTCATTGAAAGAGAAATACAATAACAGTTACAAGTACGACATTGGTCTCCTAGAATAGCCATGGCTTCCTACACTGCTCAACTGACCTCTGTTATTGGCTTCGTTGTCTCTGGTCAAATCAAACTTGTCCGTCTTCGGTCCGTGTCATTAGCCGACATGCTGTGGTCAGTCTGATACATATTTACACCCGGACTGAATCAAAACCACACCTCACCACTCAAATGGTACTAATTACGGACGGTGAAGAGTTTTGGTTACTAATTAGAACTACGGTGACGATTTCCGGCTGTTTTTCCCGATGACACACACGTGTCTGATCACTATTATAATCTACGCCTGCTTTTCGTAATCATCATATAGAACACGGAAAAATCGATTATATTTTTCTGGTTTTACATGCATAACGGTTTACCAACCCAGTTCTTATATGGACTTCTTTAACTAAATATCCCTTACTGGTTCAAACAAAGGCCTGCAGTAGCCCATTGCATATTATCGAGAGAAGCGCTCAATGTGGATGTGGGTCCCTCTGCAATATCGGGGGTTTTCTTCTGTATATTATGCTTAGGTGACATTAAAGAATCCAGACTGATTTGCAGCACCAATTCCAGTGCCTGCGATATATGTTTATTATTCTTTTCTCATACACCTACTCTATTTTTCGGCGGTGTGTCCGAGGCACCCGTCTTCATATGACCCCGGCTGTTGTAAGGATGTCAAACATAAAACAAATCTTTACTTACATGAGGTTGGTGGACACTTTAATGCTCTTTATTTGTATTTTGAAAACAACCGCCGAATTCTAAGTGGACATGGGCAGTGGTGTTCATTCCACATCTGAGATTGGTGTTGTGACCTCCAACTTACCGAGACATTTTTAAATGGCTAAACCATGCAATACATCGGACCAACATCCTTCATAGTTTGTGAGAATGTGATTTGCAACCTTTCCATCTCCGTATTAGTCCCTTAGATTGATCATTATCTATTCGTTGGAATGGTTCTGACTTTGTCTACATGAAATACTGCTGAAACCATATGTTGTAAAACTGTAATATATAACGGGTTTTGTAGAGACCTCTCCCTGCTGCTCTTTGGTCATGAGTTTTTAACTCTTTTGAACTTCAGTATCACTGATGGAGAGGCCTGAATAAGTGAAATGGTCAAAAGGTGTAGTATACTTTTTTCTTGCTTTAAGTTCCTACATTGACGAACTGAAGTTTAAAATAGTGTTTCTTTACTTCGTATCTCTGGTGATACTATTGACGTAATCTTGTAACCGGAATTTATTCTGGTACCTGAACCACTCTTGAGATAGCTGGAGTAGTTCGGGAGACTAAGTTACAGCCGCTGTTAAGAATGACAGTTTAACATCGCAATTTGAAAATAGGTCATGCTATGAAACCGCCAAGACTTCCTCGACGGAATGTCTTAAGATGCTTTTCAACAACCTTCTTGAACGGCTCACCCAAATCACACTGAAGAAAATTAATTCTAATCCAACACTGCAGTCATGCCAATGCGTGGTGGCAAACAATATAGCTGTTCTCTAAAATCAGGTACCAGTTGAAACATTCATGACAGCCAAGTACTTGCATAAAAACAATGGTATCACACGACCGATAGATGGAAAGTCAACATAAAGTACGTTAGCGAAAAACAAATACGGTAAAATGTGTATAAGTGCTTTAAAAGTTGTAATGACAAATACAGTTAAACACGGTCGGTTTCAATACAATATATTCGTTATAAGAAAGGGTGGGTCTGTATAACATTTACGGCACTGCACGGTCGTTGGGAGGATGCATACGACTATAAAAAATTCAGTATGACATGGTCGTTAGGTGGTGTTAGATCTCCATAGCAAATACAGGACTGTAGTTGTAAGAGTGAAAGATACAAAAGCTGAAAAGAATAGGTTTAGTAAACATGGTGCAATAGCTTTTAGCATGTCAATATCACGTGCGTACATCTTGCACTCACCACCACTCCCTGTCATCAAATTATATCTCAACACCTCTCATCATATCGATATTTAATAATGCTATAATTACGGAATTCTATGACTGTTTTATGCCGGAAGCAGCTTGTCAATATCGTGTTTTGGTTGTTGAACTTCCATAAAACAATTCACAGAAAAAAAAACCTGATCAATATTCTACTGTTCTGGGTCTGGGGGTTTTACGCAGCGTCGAGGCTCAAAGTTTCATACATCGTTCGTCTACTACTGTTGTATATAAAACGTGTTAGTCATTTTCAAAAACGGCTAGTCTCTAATGGTACATGTATGCAATCCGGGTGGTCAAAATAGACCGCAATGTGTTGTTTATGTTTTAAACAAATGCTACCATCCGTTCCGTCTCATTAGCTCTTAGGCCAGACAAAACTTGTAAACTATTTGAATATCATATTTTCCAAATTATTAAAACTGAAACAATACATGTTGTGGGACTCAAAATGAGTACTTTCGGATAACTAATACACATACTTAAAAAATAATACAGTTTAAGCCTGGTTACTACATGTAGTAGTCAATATAAAAGCAGTCAATACGTGTTGGTAAGACTATAGATACGATGTGGCGTTGCCATCGAAAACCCGCTGTTTTTTTCGCGCATACGCAACAATATCATCATGTCTGCAAAGGCAATCCCGACAACTGGTCTCCCCATCCTTTCGCCATGGATGATTCTTTTATAAAGAAAAACAATTTTCAGTGTTTATTTTTTAGTCTTCAAACGGGAAGTTATTCCTTTGTTTATAAATAAAACAAGTATCCCCGTGCTATTTGTTTGGAATAATAGGTGAAAACATTGACGTCATCGAGGTTTAAGGCCTATATTAAAGTTTGTTTTTATCAAACCGTCGGCGTATTTTAACGACGCCATTGAGTATAGGGCTTACAAAAGGATACGTCCATTGCTATTTAGGGGAAGTTAAGGAGGTTTTTGAGATTTTAGGCTTATGCATTTGTATCTACCTGACGTCATGTAGCCGTGTTTTTATGTTAGAGTAAGAGAATCTTTTACTTCTGTGTGATGAAGCCAGGGAAGTCTGAACGTGAGGGAAATGTTTTTGAAGTTAAGCACGAGGCATTGAAGAATATTTAAACACACCAATCACAATACATGACTAACGTGTATGATACACAAGCATTTTTCCAAGGAACATTCCTGAACCATAAACCGTCTGGGAGGTCCCTTACATCACTGTTTTTGTGGGTATTTTGCGCCTGGTCCGATTACAACACGGTCAGCTCAAGGCAAATAACAACAAAATATACCTGAAGAGCCGTTTTCGTTGGCGTGTGCATTTTGTACGATACTGTGACGGTCAAGTGGTAAAGACCCTGTGTCTAAACTCAGCTTGAAAATAAGCTGTGGAAGTGTGGGTACCATAACAGAATTGATGGGTGATACCCAGATACCGACGACTTAATTGCACCAGCCAAGCACCTGGGTTAGAATCTATTGATTCAACTAAGAGGAAACTAAAATAACAGAAATAGCGATTCAAACTTGACCATTTATTTAAAGGGCAAATAAAATACATGAAGTACACAAATGAACAATGTGTTGAACACTGTAAGATTATAGCTCGCCTCTAATGCATACACCAATCTCACATGCTCAAACAATAATCTCATACAAATGACAAAAGTACATCAGACCACTCTATCAAATATTCACATCCATATTAATGTAGTGAAATCTAAATGGTAGAAAACCTATTTACCTCTCCATGTAGAAAAGGTACATGCAAGCTATACAATTTACTTATAATCACTGACAAGTTCTACATAACGCCTAACCCTTTCATAAACATTTGGAATACTATTTCTGGCATCTCTCGAAACGTCCCTAAAATTCCTATAGTTTACACAGATAGTCATTGAGATGCATATACCACAATTAGACTACAGAACATAAAACACAAATAAATTCAACAAGCATACTGAGTATTGCTAAAGCAATACATGTCCCCTACCGGCCCCCGCTAGCTATAACACTGTAATGATTTATAAAAATGGTGCCCTTTGGTGTTACTTTGGGGAAATGAAAAGTATACAACTATCTTGTAACTGATTTTAATGTAATTTTTTCTATTCTACATTGCCATCAATCATTTTGTAAAAAGAAATCAGAATAAATGAGTTTCCATGTATACTGCATATTACATACACATTTGACACTTAAAATTCAGTAATGAACCGATTATATCGATTATGGAATTTGTTATCGTTAATCGGAATCGAACAGGACATATCGATCGATGTTCTATTATTATACATCGACCATCAGTCCATCACTGGCTTCAACTTGTCCAGGATTTTGTGTTAAAAGAAACGTTGGCCTTGACCTCAACTTTACAACCCTGAAACTCAAACGTGTCCGAGATAGTATGGTCTTTTGTAATTGTGTGAAATTTGATCAAAATCCCTCCAGGAATGAAGCCGCTAGAGGGCTGACAATAAATTTCCTAAAAATTGTGACAGTGACCTTGACCCAACAACCCTGAAATTCGAACTTGTCCAAAATAGTATGGTCTTTATAATTGTGTGATATTAATCTTAAGATAATATTAACTCTAATTAATCGTAATAAACTCCCAGAAAAGCATTGACATTACTCTGATAACTCATATACCTTCACTAAGAACGAAGCATTCTAATTCCCTATCTAAATTCATAATAGGAAGTATTTCCTAAGAAAAGGACAAAGCTAACGTCCAATTGACGAGCTCCAATTCCTGCCATTTACTTACAATATGGCTACCCACTGTAACATGTGCTTTTGTCAATCAGTGATATGACATTTTCACAAGTAAATCGCTAAGTAAGTTGTACTGAATGAATCTGTTTTCTGTTATTCCAACTGGAGAAACGTTCGCCAGCTTTACATAGAGATCTATATGCATTTTAAGAGACGAAACACCATTCTGTCACAATATTATCAAGTCATGTGGCTTGAAGATTTAGAAGAACAATTTTACATAGAAAGATGTGAAAACAGAGGAAAACTAAATATGAACAAATGGCAATGATATAATTCCAACTATCATGCATTTTGACGAATAGCATCACCCAGGGCCTTTCGGATTTACACAAGAAGTCATTCAAAGGTTTTAAACACATTTTACCCTTGTTAAGTTGAAAGTAGCTCAAGGTATTTTTAACAAGATTGATGATCCTCCATCCTAGCATACCACAGGCGAAAAATAATGACCCAATGCTTATTTGTTTTGCACAAGAAGTCATCAAAATGATTTAAACATGTGACCCCAATGCTAAGTTGAAAGTGACTCCAGGGCATTCATATAGGCAATCTTGATGACTCTTCATCCTAGCATGCCACAGGCTTAATACCATGACCCAAGGTATGTTGGGTATTCAGAAGAAGTCATTCAAATGGTTTCCACACTTTTAACCACTTTGACTTAAATCGTAGGTGAAGGTCGTTTATTTCAGCAAACTTGATGGTCTGTTGTCCTAGCAAACTACAGGCTAAAGTATTCATCTGAATCCGGAAACAAATTTTATCCACGTGACCTTGAAAACCAGAAAAGGGCATTTACATTTATTAGATTTTGAATGAACTGAATTTATTTTCATCCCATCTTGCAACTGGCCAATATTATCCCCCTAGGCTTCATGCTATGGAATGTTTTGGACAGTTTCGACGAATTTGGTCCTTGTGACATAGAAAGTGTAAAATGTCATTCATCCAAGCATGCTTCTGGTCAAATAGCATTACCACAGCCTTTCCAATTACTCAGAAATAAAGAAATCGAAAGCAAACAAGTGATGCCAGACCGACAACAGACATTATTTTACCTAGTTCCAAACCATGCATCATAGTCTACAAACCAGGTGACATTTCCCACCACAGGCTTCACTCCTAGTATCGGATAGTCTGTGGCCGTCTTCTTATCATCAGGAAGTGTCATTAAAATATCATGTTTCTTACTTCCTGTTACTAAAACTAGTATTTGTTTCCCTTTATTTAATAGAGGTAAGGTCAAAGTCATTCTAGCTTTTACTGTATCCATAGCAACAAGTGATGACCCTTCATGAGACTTGCCTGGAAAGAGTGAAGCAGTATGTCCATCAGAACCTACTCCGAGAAGGATTAAGTCGAACTGAAGATCAGGAATGTGATGTCGGATTTCTTCTTCGTATATGGCATTGCCTCTATCACCAGGACTACACACACGGTCCGCTACCTCTACAGTCATAGGGTGCACATTCATATAAGGTACACGAATGTTCCGAATCAGATGATCATGCAATAATTTGAAATTTGATCCATCTAGTTGACGGGAGACGCATCTTTCGTCTACCTGCCAAATGTGAATAAATTCCCATGGAATCTGCTGATATTTGTCTACTAAAATTTGAAATAACTTTGTGGGAGAATTTCCACCCGAAAATGCAATGTTGATATCGTCCTTAACCTTTAAGCGTTCATTGATAGCATTAAGTATATATTCAGCAGCTGCATGGATGAGAATATCCTCTGTTGGCTTTATTACTAGTTGCTGATCGAGATAGCTGGCGGGTAGAGACGAGAATTGCTGGCCATATGTACTTTCTAAAATTGCATTGAATTTATCAGTGAACATATACTGAAGACCATTGGAGGTTAGTTTGAAGTTAAGTGACCGGTCCTCTTCACGTTGATACAAACGTGGAGCGATGCCCTGAAGGTCATTCAGCACCGGTGACCAGAGGCGCCACAGACTCAGAAGACGCTCTTTTGCAACAAAACTCTCACGTCTCCCTAAAAACATGTCGTCGACAACAGTCACATAAGCCGGCTGGTTGTCTTTGGGAACGAGGAAGGTCAGATCATTCAAACTCTGGCCATACATGGCGATATCGTCCGCCGTCACTGGTAAGTCCTTCAGGGATGAGGGCAATGCAGGGTTTAAAAGGTCCTTTGAAACCATAATACCAGCTGATGGTAAGTTACCATGGCCAATTTGGAAAATAATCTGTTTTTGTCCTTTCCAATGGCTTCCATTGTGATGTCGGCAGCCGGATATACAAAAATCGTTTTCTTTGAAAACAACACGAATAAAACTTGAGCGTTCATCTAGATGTTTTCCTGAAACTAAAATAAAGGGAACACCACTCCAACGTCGATTCCTCACTTCAACACGAGCAGCGCCAAAGGTAGGTGTAAATTTCGACATTGTCACATTTTCTTTTTCTGACTGTGCCTGCATGACGTAGTCAGCATACTGACCAATCAAAACGCTGTTTTTGTTGACAGATTTTATCTGTGACAATACTCGTAGCCTACTCTTATCAACTTGCTCAGTATTGGTGATCTCGTCTGGTAGCTCCATGGCAACAAGGGCCAGTAACTCTGTCAAGTGGTTTTGCATCACATCTCTAACTATTCCATATTGATCGTAAAAGTCAATTCTTCCTGGAAGAAAAAAATAATAAAAAACATAAATGATAGATAACTTATCCGGTATTTATTGAAGTTAAATGTACAGTCTATTCTAACCACAACTTATCCGCTTGTCTTACTTTCTAAATAGCGTTCGATGTGACATATCGGCTTTTTACTTTGAATTATTGCCCCTTAATAACCAAGACGTCTTATAATCCAGCCAGTTCTGCTTGGAACCAAGTTAAGCTCGACTATATTCACAAATACCCATTACAGAGAAGGACGGTCAGTCAAAATATGCTTCTTCATCTGTTTTAACAGGATAACAGCCGACTGATGCTGCGTCATAAACAATCGATTTTCATTTAACCTTTTATCTGTGTTACCAATTTCACTGTTTGTGCCAGACTTTCAACATTTCTACTCGGAATTTACTCATTTTGCCAACAATGCACGTTTTCACACATAACTACAATGTACATGCATTGAACTTGTTCTTCTAATTAAATATTTATCAAATTTATCAAAGTCCCTTCTTTTTATTTTCATCTGATTTATCCATTATTATCAATCATTTATAAGTCAATATCAACGCGTCTCGTTGCAATGCTGGGTTACATGTGTTACCTTGTACCACTATAGTGTAATGAAAAGTACTACTGCAGGTCGGGGACTGACAAAAGAATATACATGCTGTTACCCACTGCTTGTTGTAAAAGGCAAATAATGTGGGAACCCCCTGGTTCATTGGGGATGTTATGGTGCCCACAATAGCGACCGACTGAAATCACCGATCGCAATTTTATGTATCTTTATATTCTCTCTCTATATTTGGCTTTAGTGTTGAATGTTCGTCAAAGTGGGATATACCAAACTCCTCAATAAGTTAGTTATTATTCCTTGCTTAACGTTCAGTATTTAGGTTAAAGGCATCAAATGGTTCACCCGTTGTCAGTATAATGTGACCGGGTACGTGGGATGCTGCGCCGTGAGCATTCGTCATTGTTATCAGTCAGGTAGCACTCTGAAGTCAGCATCAGATCGATTTGCAAGCAGGCAAATACGCCAGCATAAACAAAGTAGCGCCTCTAGTACACATACATACATACATACACTCAACAAACCCAGAAAGAAAGGTAAACCTCTCCCCTCATACATACCTTTTCATCGGTAAAAATAGGAAAAACAATTTTGTAGTATAAATAGTTTAAAGTGATTATCTTCAAAGTCATACCGTATTTATTCACAATGCAAGCGTGCAAGCTGTGATGTCCCAAGAGCTCATCATGCGTTTCCGCAAATAACTCGTGAATTACACCAATTACTTATCAAACAATGCAAGTATACGCAATTTATCTGTCACTGGGGTGACTAGAAAATCACAAAGAAAATATCACCAATACGCATGTTCAGAGGGAAAGGGCTGTTGGCAAGATCCATGCCCGGCTATTTTGATACAGTGCGATTAATCGGGCCCGTAGTATCTAGTCTAAAATTGTGTACATACCCTGAACGTTTTGCAAGTTTCAAAGAAGCATTGTTAAAAGTTATAATCACTCTCTTATATATACATGATGAAAATATTCTTTAAAAATAAAACAGTAACAAACAGTGTACCTTTCTAGTGTAATGATTTGGTACATATACTCACCCTGTACCTTTCTGGTTTAATGATATGGTACATATACTCACCCTGTACCTTTCTAGTGTAATGATATGGTACATATACTCATCCTGTACCTTTCTAGTGTAATGATATGGTACATATACTCACCCTGTACCTTTCTAGTGTAATGATATGGTACATATACTCACCCTGTACCTTTCTAGTGTAATGATATGGTACATATACTCACCCTGTACCTTTCTAGTGTAATGATATGGTACATATACTCACCCTGTACCTTTCTAGTGTAATGATATGGTACATATACTCACCCTGTACCTTTCTAGTGTAATGATATGGTACATATACTCACCCTGTACCTTTCTAGTGTAATGATATGGTACATATACTCACCCTGTACCTTTCTAGTGTAATGATATGGTACATATACTCACCCTGTACCTTTCTAGTGTAATGATATGGTACATATACTCACCCTGTACCTTTCTAGTGTAATGATATGGTACATATACTCACCCTGTACCTTTCTAGTGTAATGATATGGTACATATACTCACCCTGTACCTTTCTAGTGTAATGATATGGTACATATACTCACCCTGTACCTTTCTAGTGTAATGATATGGTACATATACTCACCCTGTACCTTTCTAGTGTAATGATATGGTACATATACTCACCCTGTACCTTTCTAGTGTAATGATATGGTACATATACTCACCCTGTACCTTTCTAGTGTAATGATATGGTACATATACTCACCCTGTACCTTTCTAGTGTAATGATATGGTACATATACTCACCCTGTACCTTTCTAGTGTAATGATATGGTACATATACTCACCCTGTACCTTTCTAGTGTAATGATATGGTACATATACTCACCCTGTACCTTTCTAGTGTAATGATATGGTACATATACTCACCCTGTACCTTTCTAGTGTAATGATATGGTACATATACTCACCCTGTACCTTTCTAGTGTAATGATATGGTACATATACTCACCCTGTACCTTTCTAGTGTAATGATATGGTACATATACTCACCCTGTACCTTTCTAGTGTAATGATATGGTACATATACTCACCCTGTACCTTTCTAGTGTAATGATATGGTACATATACTCACCCTGTACCTTTCTAGTGTAATGATATGGTACATATACTCACCCTGTACCTTTCTAGTGTAATGATATGGTACATATACTCACCCTGTACCTTTCTAGTGTAATGATATGGTACATATACTCACCCTGTACCTTTCTAGTGTAATGATATGGTACATATACTCACCCTGTACCTTTCTAGTGTAATGATATGGTACATATACTCACCCTGTACCTTTCTAGTGTAATGATATGGTACATATACTCACCCTGTACCTTTCTAGTGTAATGATATGGTACATATACTCACCCTGTACCTTTCTAGTGTAATGATATGGTACATATACTCACCCTGTACCTTTCTAGTGTAATGATATGGTACATATACTCACCCTGTACCTTTCTAGTGTAATGATATGGTACATATACTCACCCTGTACCTTTCTAGTGTAATGATATGGTACATATACTCACCCTGTACCTTTCTAGTGTAATGATATGGTACATATACTCACCCTGTACCTTTCTAGTGTAATGATATGGTACATATACTCACCCTGTACCTTTCTAGTGTAATGATATGGTACATATACTCACCCTGTACCTTTCTAGTGTAATGATATGGTACATATACTCACCCTGTACCTTTCTAGTGTAATGATATGGTACATATACTCACCCTGTACCTTTCTAGTGTAATGATATGGTACATATACTCACCCTGTACCTTTCTAGTGTAATGATATGGTACATATACTCACCCTGTACCTTTCTAGTGTAATGATATGGTACATATACTCACCCTGTACCTTTCTAGTGTAATGATATGGTACATATACTCACCCTGTACCTTTCTAGTGTAATGATATGGTACATATACTCACCCTGTACCTTTCTAGTGTAATGATATGGTACATATACTCACCCTGTACCTTTCTAGTGTAATGATATGGTACATATACTCACCCTGTACCTTTCTAGTGTAATGATATGGTACATATACTCACCCTGTACCTTTCTAGTGTAATGATATGGTACATATACTCACCCTGTACCTTTCTAGTGTAATGATATGGTACATATACTCACCCTGTACCTTTCTAGTGTAATGATATGGTACATATACTCACCCTGTACCTTTCTAGTGTAATGATATGGTACATATACTCACCCTGTACCTTTCTAGTGTAATGATATGGTACATATACTCACCCTGTACCTTTCTAGTGTAATGATATGGTACATATACTCACCCTGTACCTTTCTAGTGTAATGATATGGTACATATACTCACCCTGTACCTTTCTAGTGTAATGATATGGTACATATACTCACCCTGTACCTTTCTAGTGTAATGATATGGTACATATACTCACCCTGTACCTTTCTAGTGTAATGATATGGTACATATACTCACCCTGTACCTTTCTAGTGTAATGATATGGTACATATACTCACCCTGTACCTTTCTAGTGTAATGATATGGTACATATACTCACCCTGTACCTTTCTAGTGTAATGATATGGTACATATACTCACCCTGTACCTTTCTAGTGTAATGATATGGTACATATACTCACCCTGTACCTTTCTAGTGTAATGATATGGTACATATACTCACCCTGTACCTTTCTAGTGTAATGATATGGTACATATACTCACCCTGTACCTTTCTAGTGTAATGATATGGTACATATACTCACCCTGTACCTTTCTAGTGTAATGATATGGTACATATACTCACCCTGTACCTTTCTAGTGTAATGATATGGTACATATACTCACCCTGTACCTTTCTAGTGTAATGATATGGTACATATACTCACCCTGTACCTTTCTAGTGTAATGATATGGTACATATACTCACCCTGTACCTTTCTAGTGTAATGATATGGTACATATACTCACCCTGTACCTTTCTAGTGTAATGATATGGTACATATACTCACCCTGTACCTTTCTAGTGTAATGATATGGTACATATACTCACCCTGTACCTTTCTAGTGTAATGATATGGTACATATACTCACCCTGTACCTTTCTAGTGTAATGATATGGTACATATACTCACCCTGTACCTTTCTAGTGTAATGATATGGTACATATACTCACCCTGTACACCAATAGTTTCCTTCATGACGACCTCTACTCGTGACACGTGGTCACTGGTCAGTAGCGGTTCTAGGATATCTCTGTTGGCGTGTCTATATAGAGAAGCAGAGACAGTCACTGGTTAAAAACTAAAGGATAAAGTTCCAATGGATGAAGTTTTGTTATATCATCATTGAAAATGGATTTGTTTTGTCACACTTGAAAACATAAAGCTCTTTTAAATTGGCTTTTGTTGGTGATTGTTAACAACAAATCATTAGATACATGTATAAATGGACAAGGTATTTTCTTTATCAGTTCTAGAGGAGTCCAAACAATAACAGCAGATAAAGCATAATCCATTAGTGTTGTTTTATTTTCTATTTTATTGTCTTTGGGACGTAAAAACCATCACAAGAGTAAGAAATTCATTCAACTTAGAATTTTAAACTTAGAAACTGGGAATTTTGTTTCAGAAAGCGAAAATTCGCTTATTTAATGAACCATGGAGAATAAAAAAAATAAAAATAAAAAATTGTGGACATGTCTGATTTTAATTATCATTTTATATAGGGAACAGTATTTGATACAGGTGATTTTTATAATGCATTTTGTTTACCTCCTCTGTAATGTTACACTATATACATATATCTATATCACTATTGATGACATGTATATTTCATGTATTATTTATTTACACATACATTTGCATTATTCGTCGATCTTGAAATCCAAATATCACACAAAAATGTATACCAAACATTACAAATACGAAAAAACCAAAGGGTATACATGTATATCAGCTCCCAGGCAAGCCACACTTTATCTTTAATTGCTAGTTATTTCCCAGAATACAAGGATCAAGGATACTCATTACTCCATAGCTATTTCGGTTACGATCCTTATAATTTTGGGTATAACCTGGAAATAAGTCCTGAGGTATGGGGCAAGACCCCTGGACTAATCCTGGTAACATGATTGTGTCCATCTCTTTATGTCCACTGAGCAGTTCAAAAGTTTATAATTCTCTTCCAACCTACAACCCAACTTATAACTAAGTCTTCGGGCAAGTAGAAGCCTGTGGGCAATCATGGTAGGATGGTTGTTGTCTCTTCATGTTTACCAGTTACCTTATGAAGAGAGTGTCTCAAATATATTTTCATTTATAATCCAGGAACTAAGTCTCTAGGGGAAATGCCAGATCTAAGGACCAACCTTAGTAGCATAAATGTGTTCCTCCCTTTACAAATAGCAATTTTATATTTTATAGCCATATAGGGTGGGGATCTGAACAGTTTTCATGTTATGACTCATGGATCAAATCCTAATGGGCAGGGCCAAGCCCCTTAGCCAGTCTCCATGCATAGAAATTGTATACAGTTTTATATATTTATACAAGAGATCCCAGAGGGATCTTGGCGCCCACCTTTGTACCATCTTCATTAGTTCTTTGTCAGTTCAATCTTTTCTCTTCTTTCCTCTAATCTGTTTGATCGAGTCATGTTAACAGTAAATGCACCTTGAGGTAACTTTTGATCTAAACTTAATACTGATGTGTATGAAAGCCAACCTTCAAAGTGAGTTTGTCATTTCACATATTTACTAGTACAGTACTTAATGTGAAAGAAATAGAATCGATCATTGCAATATGAGAAAGATCTGTTTAGTTCTTCTTTTAATCCATTTTGTTTTTATGATCAGTCTCAAAATATAACATACACAACGAGGGATCAAGGGGAACCTACATTTAAAATTTGAGAAAGA